GACAACCTCTCGTCAATATGCGTTTTTCGCATTGCATTGCTGCAAAAAACGCATAAAAAACCGCACTATACCTTTATGGCACTCAAGGCACGAGACTGATTGTACAATTTTGGATTAATCCTGTCGATCGAGAGAACGGCTTTATCCCGGATGCGTTCAATAAAAGCCATATTTCGTCGGCATACTGGCCGTGGACGGGCATCCCAGTTATGAATTAGACGTGCGGGGATCACGATTTCTTCACCTTTACTCAAACATCCATCACAATAATACTTCTCGTCAAAACCACATTTTCTAAAACAAAAAAGCTACAGTTGAAGTAGAACAATATCAAGAATACCAAAACCACCGGATCAGGTACCGTGCAGAGGTCACTGTCATTTATAACCAGATTTATACTTACAAAGAATACTACTTTAATATTTGAATCATTTCGTGTTTGCACATTTATCATTTAGATTTTTTCACTGGGCAAACGCGTGTAAATTAAGTGCAGCACGTATAAATCAGTACTATTTAACGAGATCAGTATATGCCCACTTCAACCACCAAAATCCCAAGACAGCCCCAACTATATTCTAAGCTATTCCGGAAAGCAAATGCACATCATACCTATATGATGCAAAAGTAGGACCAACTGATTTTCTGCATGATGGACATCGAAAATCTTGCGCATCAAGGCCTTTCTCACGAGAAATTGTCGTCAGGATAGCAATCAATGATTCATCGGGCAAATCTGAACTGCTACCATTCGAGCGAACCTGGAATCAGAAGAACCTGTTTAAAAGACCTAAAGAAGCGGAAAAGGCTGAAAAGAAACAATTGGCCAGCGCACTAACTGCCGGTGCGAAGATGCGTTTTTTGCACAGTTCCTCGCAGGTTATTGTCACTAACGGCACTGTTTTTCCGACAAATGTTTCTGGCTAAAAGAATTGTGGTTGCCCACCACGACTGTGCAAAAACATTCCCTTAAAATCTAAGATTTCTAGCTTTTTAGGTTGCCGAGTTAGCAACTTACCCGCAAAAAATTTTCACGGATCCGTAGGGGGGAACCACGTGGGCAAGAGTGCCCACTTTGGAAAAGAGATTCCGTACATGCATTTAGACTAAGTACTCAAAGCTTCAGCCTTGTGGCGTTTGTAGGTCTCGAGATGAAAAATTGGTAAACACACACACACCCTCATACACACACAACCTCTCCACAAATGTGCTTTTGCATTGCATAATGCAAAAATCACACAAAAATAAACCTGGTGATCAGTTTGTTTAGTGAAAAAAAAAAAAAAAAACATTTAATGTTTACCTCTTCAGAACATGTACTTTTGCGAGGTTGTGTACCCTCATTCATTTGCGGCTCCATTTCTTCACATACTGTCGTCCCATCATTCGAAATTGCACCATCGTCTACGGGATGCCCGTTTGTTACCTTTAAGAAGAAAAATAACTATAAAATTTATAAAACTTAATGTATGTGGCTTACCAAAATTGTCATTAACATGGGATACCCACATCGAATGCTCCAAAGCTCCGGGCGTATTACACTTTAATATGCTAAAAATCCAAAAGCGGTCAAAACAAATGTGTCTTTCTGCTAAATATAGAAGCCATAATACATCCATACACCACATGTACACGTATGTCAATATGAATGTATAAAAACTGTCGAAACTAATACATGTGAAGAAGCTGGCAATACCCCAGATCGGCTGCTCCAGCGTCCCTTATATATTAAATTTTAAAATGCCAAACATCCAAAAACGGTCAAAACAAATGTGTCTATCTGCTAAATATAGAAGCTAGAATACACCTGTATATCATATGCATATATGTGTCAATGTGAATGTACAACAAATATCGAAACTAATACATGTGAAGAAGAAGCTGACAATGCTGAAGTATCAATCATGTATGTGAAGAAATAAATGCGTAAAACTGTAAAAATCAAACGGAAAACGTGCAAAAGCCAAAAGATATTACCTACCAATTATATTCATATACGCAAAAACCCTCTTTTTCTGAGCGGAAAAATGTCAAATTTTATATATAACTGGCCATAACTAAGTCAGGGAGAAAACTAATTCAAACAAATAAAAAAAAACTTCAGACCTACACTGAAATTCGTGCAAATTTCACTTTGATTAAAAGGGTGCAAGGAAAAAAAA